GGAATTGCCCACAGTCACAGCCTTCTGCCTCTGCCCAAGCCTGGTTTGGCCACACCGGTCAGGTCTTGTTCCATGGGAAGAGATGAAACAGGTAATTGCAGTGAGCACCAACCGTTCGTTCCTAAGGCCCCAATGGGTCCCTGAGCACTGTAATGAACAAGCCCTTGTAGCTAGCTATCATTGATTTGGTTCCTGCTAGGTGCAGCTGTTGGCTGTGAGCAAACAACAAAAATACATTGAATTCTCAAAGCAATCAGGTGAAGTCTTAAAGCCTGGGGGTGTGCAGTGTGGTACAAAGTGCCAAATATCTGTGAAGTTGGTAGGCACAGCCATTACCTAATATTGTCAAGCTCTCTCTTCCTGTTCTATGTGCCCATTTCCTGGTAGTTTCAGATTCAACTCAAATGTCATTTCCTACAGAAAGGACACATAAAGCAATGCCATTTTTAACATTTTGTTATTCATTTTACCTGCAACCCCAATATGAGCTACATTTGCATTATGCCAGTGTGCACATAACATGAAATTGAAATAGATAATTGCAAATTAGATTTTCCTTTTCTGATGTGTGTGTGTGTGTGTGTGTGTGTGTGTGTGTGTGTGTGTGTGTGTGGGCTGGGACTCACTCTGCAGCTCAGGCTGATCTGGAAATCACTATGTAGCACCCAGACTGGGCTTTGAAGTGGCAATCCCCCTCCCAATTTCTGTTTCATAAATGTTGGAATAACAGGCCTATTTAATTTGTTTTCCTACTCAATATTATCAAAAAGAGAAGGTGGCACATGCTATATAGTAAGATAAAAGGGAGAAAAGAAAGAATATGAAAGAGCAGTGAGGGGGAGTTTGATCACATCTCCAGAGTCAATTTAGTAATCTATAGTGTAACTTGAAGAGCAAAGTGCTGGGGTCCCCTCCAGGCACTATGCATCCAGTGCTACCTTTGTTGGCTCCACTGGCAATGACATTTCACATTCTGGCCTCCCAATAAGATCAAGATCCCTCACTGTTCTGTCTAGCAGGAGACCTCTGCTAGGGAAGCCAATGAATTATCATAAATTGCTAAATTAGTGGCTTGATTTCAAGTTTGTGAGGTGGCACTAGAGTACATGGAGATGATTGTCTTTCCGGAGGATAAACCCATTTACCCACAGGCATGGTAATCAGATCAACCGGTAGGCAGATGGAAGGGGCATGGGGGAGGTAGTGACTGTGAGCTGCATTTCAAAGACATCCCCCACACACATACAAACTGAATTTGAACTTTCTTTACTGCCCCTCCCAATGCATACACATCCAAGAAACCCAAGAAGGGTCTCCAATTTCTTTTTCTTTTCTTGTTTTTTCTTTTTTGGTTTTTGGAGACATGGTTTCTCTGTGGCTTTGCAGGCTGTCCTTGAACTAGCTCTTGTAGACCAGGCTGCTCTTGAACTCACAGAGATCCACCTGCCTCTGCCTCCCGAGTGCTGGGACCAATGGTGTGTGCCACCAACACCCGGCATTCCAGTTTCTTTCAGGTCTATCAACTATGAAGATTAGTTAACACAGCACTAACTGTTCCTTGGTAAAAATCATGAATTAAAAACATTTTCTTGCTGGTCGGTGGTGGTTCATGCCTTTAATCCCAGCACTCAGGAATCAGAGGCAGGCAGATCTCTGAGTTTGAGGCCAGCCTGGTCTACAGAGTGACTGCCAGGACAGCCAGAGCTACAAAGAGAAACCCTGTCTCAAAAAACAAACAAAATTTTCTTCCTGTGTTGAATAAATGTTTTCATGGTGACTTTTCCTTAAAACTGGTGGGGGGGGGTCTGGACTGAATTCAGAATTTAATGCATGCCAGCCAAATACTCTACCACTGAGATAACTACCTCCCAAGCCTCCACTATGTTACCCAGGTAGCCTTGAATTCACCTTGTAGCTCATGCAGGCCTTGAACTTTCAATTCTCCTAACTCAAAATCCTAAATGCTGAGTGGGATTACAGGACTCACAAAATTTTCTTATTCTTAGAATGGGTCACATATAGCCAGGCGGTGGTGGCCCATGCCTTTAGTCCCAGGACTCAGGAGGCAGAGGCAGGCAGATCTCTGTGAGTTCGAGACCAGCCTGGTTTACGAAGCTACACAGAGAAACCCTGTCTCAAAAAAAAGGGTCATTTCCAAGATTTTTTTTCCCAAATAGCCACACCTGCCAATAGCTACTCCCTCCCAGGAAGAACTTCCGAGAGACCTACAGAATGCCCTGCATACATCCTTCTGGCACCTCTGACAAATCCTGAGTGAGGTCTGAGGCCAGACTTTTGTAGCACCTAGATGACCAGGTACTTCCTGTGGAGAATATTTCCATGAATCACTCAATTTGGGGCTATTGCAAAAGCCTCTTTAGACTCTGGGATCTTGATTCTTCTGCTGAATGGTAGAGAAGGGAGTTACACTGCAATGGACTAGACTTAAGCTCCAGGTTTGTGCAAGAAAACCACAGTTCAGATTCCTGATAACATCTGTGATAGGATTTTATAGTGGGATAGTGAGGGGATTAAGAGGCAGTGTGCTGAGGCAGGTGCAGAGGGTGATCCTTAGGGAGAAGGCAAACCTAAAATTCCTTGACCTCATAAGGAAGCAACTTGATTCTGTAGGGGGGGCATAGGGTAGTACTGAGCAATCACTCTGTATGCAGAGGCCTCTGGGAGAGGGGCCAGCATAGGGGGAGGGAAATGCTGGGAAATCTGATTTTGCCAAAACTAAAAAATATTCATGAAGCAGCCTCTGAATGGACAGAATGTCTCTCTCTGCCCTACTCTGTCTCTCACTTACACACACTCCTGCCCAAGGTTCTCCTGTCTCTTCGTAAGACAGTATCTTTTCCAGGGATTCATATAGCTCCATTTCCAGGGACAGAGGAGGGCACTGTCTTTTAAATCCATTCAACACCAACCCTTCTTCATTAACGACTTTTTTATGTGGTCAAAACAGGGCTCCTTCTCATCATTGCCTACTTTAAACTTCCATAAAGAATTGGCCTGTGGCCTTCACCTAAATGCCATCAGGTCAGCCTAGAACTGATCAGAACACTCACTATCACTATCATTTAAGACAGTGGTTCTCAGCCGGGTGTTGGTGGCGCACACCTTTAATCCCAGCACTCGGGAGGC